CACGCCGCAGGGGGCGGAAGCGGCCCAGGAAAGCGAGGCTCCGCCCCCAGCCAGCCCGCCCGCCCACCCACCCATGTGGTCGCTGGGCGCTGAGCTGATCCGCTACAGGTGGCGCCGGGGTTCTCTCGTTGGGCTCCTCCCGGCGAAATCTCCAGGAACCGAGCTCCTCTAACTCGACCCCTTTTTTTCGGGGGCAAGGGCCCGGAGCAATTTACGTTTGAGCGGATTTCTGGCCGCCGCTCCTAGTCACACACCTGTTCTCCCTACCTTGAACCGCAAGGCCTTCCTTCTCGGATCTAGCAGGTTTTCGGCCGCTGCTGAGAGAAGGCAGAGGCTGTTACTGTTTCGCGTCCGATATCACCCCTGAGGGGACCACAAGCAACCATCAACCTATCCCCTTATTACACCATTTTCCTAATTCATTTATTCGTTCATCACTTATGTATTGAGGCTTCCATGTGCTAGGCCCTGCTCGAGCTGCTGGGAGTACAATGTGGAGTCCCTGGCCTCATGAAGTTAGATCTGGTGAAGAAAGAAAATGTTAAAAGAAGAATCACACACAAAAAATTGCAATTAGTGAAATCTTTTCTGAGAGGTACATGATGCTAAGACAGCCTGTTTAGGGGGGATGGGGAGATTGATTTAGTCGAGGATGTTCGGGCTGGAATCAGAAGGTTAACTTGGAAGGAGTTAACTAGGTCCAAGGAGTGAGAGCTTGGCATGGCCAGAATGCGGCGATGAAAGACCACTGAATGTGGAGTAGAGGATGAGAGTGGGGAGAGGTAGGCAATAGTTGAGGTAAGGATTTGAGGCTTTAATCTGAGAGTTTGGGGAAGCCATTGAGGAATTTTCATTGTTTTTTTTTTTGTTTTTGTTTTTTTTTTAAAGATTTTTTTATTTATTCATTTTTTTCCCCCCAAAGCCCCAGCAGATAGTTGCATGTCATAGGTTCGCATCCTTCTAGTTGCTGTACGTGGGACTCGGCCCCGGGTTGGACGGAGAAGTGGTGCCTTGGGGCGTGCCCAGGATCCGAACCCGGGCCGCCAGCATCAGAGCGCGCGCACTTAACCGCCAAGCCACGGAGCCAGCCCTATTGTTTTGTTTTTTAACCCATCACTCCAATGTCAGTTAAAGAGTGGTTTGGAGGGGGCTCAGAGTTTGGGCACGAGGACAAATTAGGAAGCTACTTTAACAGTCAAGGCAAGGTAGACTAGTGGTGGTAGAAAAGAGCACTTTTTAGGGAAGTAAAATGGACAGGACTTGATGATAGATTGGATGAAGAGTGAAAGTCAGGTAGGTGGCAAGTTTGATTCTTAGATTGGAGGTTAGTGGGGATGCATTTATAGACCTCTGGAGCACGGAAGGAAGCCCCGGAGGAAAGTAACTAAAAATGGATGATAACTGTAAATGTAAAAGCTAAAACTATAAGTAAATTTCTAGAAGAAAACAAAAAATATTTGTAACCTAGAGGTAGGCAAAGATTTCTTAGGACACAAAAAGCACAAACCATAAAAGAAATGATTCATAAGTTGAACTTCATCAAGATTAAAAACTTTTGTTCTTTGAAAGACACCATTAAGAAAATGAAAAGGCAAGCCACAGATAGGAGGGAGGATTTGCAATACAATATATCTGACAAAAGTCTTGTATCCAGAATATATAAAGAACCTTTATAATTGAATAATAAGAAGACAAACAACCCAATAAAACAATGGGCAAAAGGTTTTAGTAAATACTTCACCAAAGAAGATATAAAAATGGCGAATAAGCAACAAAAACATGCTCAATATCTTTAGTCATCCAGGGGTTTGCAAACTAAAACCACGATGATATACTACACCCTCATCAGGATAGCTAGAATTAAAGACTGACTACCCAGCAATCCCACTCCTACGCATCTTTTTAACTATGCTTAAGCTCCAAATAAAGACAATAACAAAGTCACACTTTGACCTAGCTTGATACAACTAACCTGCAGACCACCAAAAACACATAGCACTTCCCCCAAAAGAGGATGCAAAGTCCTTGGGTGATGTTCCCTTTCCGCTTTTGACATCCTGTAGCTTAATACTGCGATATAAAGTTAACTAATAATATATCTCTATTGTGTAGTAGCAATTGAATTTCCCCTTTGGTAATCAGGATCAGTCACTCCAGCCAGTACAAGAACTCCCTTCTTTGCCTGTTGATTTGGAGGAGTGAGATGCCCAAAGCGACCAGGTGACAATCTCAACTTCCAATTCAATGGAAACATTGTTGTGTCTTTTGGTGGAAGTATTCTTCCTTTCGGAACTAAGACATCTAGACCAGCAGAGCTTCTGGCCGTTTCTTCTTCCAGGCAAAATGAACAATCAGGTGTATTGCTTGAAGTTCTGCCAACAGGGAGGCTTTTCCTTCCATGTTATTCTTCTAGGATATCCCAGAAAGAGGCTGTGGTGCTGCAACCATTCATTTTCACCGAGGTTCTGCATATTGTGCAGAACCATCGTAAACCAGGCTAGAAACCAAGACTGAGTTTTCTATTCCCCAGTCAACTGGTCATAGGGAATGCCCCGTGAGATTATGGGTGTGAGCTGAGAGAGAGAAGATAACATAGTGGGAGTAGGGACCATGGGTGTTTGGGCCACTTCCTCATACAATTTACTTATGCCTCCAGGGCCCCTTCAAGCCCAATCTCATATATACCACTTCAATTAGTGCTGCCTTGTATGCACAACTTTACAGCTTGGTGGATCAGACAACACCCAGTTCATGATGGGCAGTTCAGGTCACAAGGTTAAGAGTTCAGTCTTTACTATGGCTCAGTAGCAACCCAAATGCTGTTTCTCAAAAGGAGAGTAGTTACATGCAAGGGATGACAGGGCTTTGCTCCAAAGTCCTAAAGGTCTGCTGTGTGATTTACTTCTAGGGGCCTGCCAAAGTCTCTAAACAGCATTTCTATCAACCACTTGCAGAATGAAGCTCTGGGTTTGGTTTTCAGAAACCTTGGCCCTGAGGGTGTCTTTCAAGGCAGCTACAGAGGCTGTCAGATCATCTATACAGGGCTTGAGCTAGGAATTTGAAGCCCTGAGCTCATCCCTTTTCTATCCCTACCTTCTTCAGTGCAATTAGGAGCAACCAGCCAATCCCATTATATTTCTTAGTTCGACTAAAATAGTCTAAGGTAGCAAATACATGGTCACTCAGGACCTCACTTTCTATCCATATTTGATTAAGAGTATCCAATGCCTCATCATGCCATGGACTCCTGATGCCCTCTTTAACATTGGAAATAGAGTCATTAGTACCTTTAAATCTAACCAGATTAGAGAACCAATTCAAGAAAATCCAGAACCAATTCAGAAAATTCATCCTTAAGATTCTATTCCTCTAGAACCACTGCCAGTATCAAAATCTGTATCAGTCAAGGTTCAGAGAAGCAGAACCAGTAGGAGATATATAATAAGAGATTTATTTCAAGGAATTTATTTGTGCGATTAAGGGTGGGGAGGAGGACTGGTTAAGCAAATTTGAAATCCATAGGGCAGACTGTCAGGAAGGGCAGGTTGGAACTCAGGCAAGGACTGAAGCTGCTGTCCCAAGGCAGAATTTCTTCCTCGGGAGAGTCTCAACTCTGCTTTTCAGGATTTTCCACTGATTGAATCAGGCCCAGGCATATTATCTAGGATAATCTCCCTTACTTAAAGTCAACGATTATGGACTTTAACCATATCTACAAAAATGCCTTCATAGCGACACTTAGATTAGTGTTGAATAGTATAGAATAACTGAGGACTATATTCTAGACAAGTTGACACCTCAAAAAGGCTATCACATAAGTATTTACCTGAGAGAAATGAAAACATATATCCACACCCAGACTTGTAAAAGAGTATTTATAGCGGCTTTATTCACAGTATCAAAAAACTGGAAACAACCCAAACACCCATGAACAGGTGAATGGATTAACAAAAATGCATTAAATCCATGCAATGGAATACTAGCCAGCAATTAAAACTAATGAACTACCAATACACTTAATAATGTGGACAAATCTCAAAATCATTATACTGAGTGACAGAAGCCAAAAACAAAAGAATATATATTGTATAATTCCATATAAAATTCTAGAAAATGTAAACTAATCTGTAGTGACAGCAGATCAGTGGTTGTCTGGGGCCAGATATGGAGAGAAAGATGATAGGTAAAGGGGCACAAAGAAACTTTGGAGGATGATTTTGATTATGGTGGTGTTTTCATGGGTGTATACATATGTAAAAATTCATCAAATTGTACACTTTGAATAGGTGCAGTTTATTGTATGTATAGTTCACCTCAATAAAATTGTTATTAAAAAAGAATTCATTTGATGGAATTAACAGCAGATTAGAAACAGCAGAACAGAGGGTTAGTGAACTGGAAGACAGACAGCAGAAAGTATTCAGATTAAAGTACAGAAAAAAAAAAGGAGAGAAAATACAGAGAAGAGCAACAGAGATATATGAGACACAGTGAAAGGTAGTGTTGCAGAACAGAGATTATATAAAATGGGAAAAAATACTGGTGTGCTCTTGTTGAAAACATTATAGAAATGAATCTGCTCTTGGTGAGGCAATATCTAGCATGCAGACACTTACTCAATTTTAAGAATATGGAAATCAGAATATTATTCATTTGGCAAAATTTGGTAATATCATGGCAGAACATTTATGCAGAAAGCAAATATCAGCACCAAAAAACTATTACACATTTCTCAGGGGATGAAATACAAAACTTATTTATTAAAATGTTAGCAGGTGCTATGAAAGAAATATTTTGGGATAAAGTGAGAAG